GATATCTTAAGTCCTGGACAGTAATAGTTGAGCAAAATGTACCCGACAGTGGTAATGTGTGTGTGTGTGTTACTGCGGTCCGGTGGCTGCCAGCTGTGCCACCAGAACACTCAGCAAGAGTCCCGGACGGGGCCACCCGGGCCAACACGGGGCCCCACTGACACTACGGGACCAGTTCAGGAGTGGCAAGGCCCGCCACTTGTTGCTTGGCTCCCAGTCCTCTATGAGAGTTGACCCACTCTTTAGAATCAGTGAACCTTCGACTCCTCGCTTGTAATAGCCTTAACAACAGGACCTGGATACTGTACTTGCTCTTGGATACCCGACCCGTTAACACTGTTGCTGCCGAGAATCAACGATCAAATCTATTGTGTTGTGTTATTTATTTTGTTTTATTTTTGGAAAATGGTTTGAAGCTTTGCACTTTTGAAACATCAGTGTCGGAGTTTGAGAAACAACAGCACCTGCAGTGTAAGATAGAAACGGATTCAATATATGAGTGTAAGTTGTCAGTAAATAGCTCACGTCAAGATGCCTGTACGTGCCGGATGGGTCCCCTGTGTGGGCTTCCAGCCGCCCAAACCTATGGTGATGATGATCGAGGAAGCAGACGTTATCGCCGAAGAGTGTGAGCGAGCCTTCCAGAGTGTCCGGACTAAGAATGTCTCTGCAGGAGCCCCGCTCGCCCCACCCCCACCTGCAAGTGAGTCGTCAAGAATTTCTCGCAAGAGGATCATGAGGTCACTCTTTCCCGCAAGCAACTGTACTATAATTAAGACCGAGTCAGTTGTATAGCAAATTCTTACCGATTGAAAACACTGAAAAGTAACAATTTCAACCTAAGAGGATGACACCGATCTTGATTGAGTTAAACATTATCCAGTGGTCGTCTATATTTCACTAATGGGTCAGCTTACTGCTCAGAATCTGGAGTTTTTGAGTTCGTAAGTTAAATAATCAAAGTAAGACATAATAACGCATCTGTCTGGCTCATATTTTCCTCAACACTAATCTCCAAAATGATACTGAAACTGTTCTTAGACTAGTTATTATATACAGTTTATATCTCCTAGTTAGAGAAATATATCTGTCAAATCTTTTAGGTTTAAACTTTAATATCTGGAGGAAAATGTTTGAGATGCAATGAAATTTATTTCCGGACATTTTACATTTTAACTCTAACCAAACCTAAACTGAATAAGAAAAGTACTTAACATGTAAACTAGATTAGGCTACAATGTTGTTGTTTATTCAGTCATTATATTTATTGAACAAAACAAAAAATATCGGGGGTTTGACGAAAATTTAATAAGACCGCAAAAGAAGACCTTAATATTACCAATGACTTAATCTAGTGAGTGCAAAGAATAAGACACTTGTAGGGTCTAACTGCACACTAAAGCTAACTAAGTTAAAGAATTTGATCCTTTATAAGAACGTTTAATGAGAGTTAGATCCTTTTAAAGTCAGATGACGTAAGCCTCTGGTAAGGTTTGGTATCACCTAAAGTCTGAAAAAACATGTTGAGCATAGAGTCCCATTAACTAAACTACTGAAGATTTCTAGAGCCTCGTATAGTGCGTAGAGCCACATTTAGAGCCCCGTTTAGTTTAGTGCGTAAAGCCACAGCATTTATATGTGTTTAGATATACATAGGTGTGTATATTTAGGTATACACCTACTCGCATGTATAGAATCCTTCACGGGTATTAGTCTCGGATCAAAGGGGTTAACCATTAGATATGTCTGGATTACGGTGAAGGACGGAACGTACAGAACTGCAGCGTCGTTGATGATATTCCCGAGAGAGAGAGAGAGAGAGAGAGAGAGAGAGAGAGAGAGAGAGAGAGAGAGATTAAATTTACCACGTTTTATTGGTTCATTGATAAGAAATGTTGCAATTGAAAAAACAAATAAAAAGTGTATTTCGATTAATAGAAAACGTCTATTACCTCCAACACGACAGATCTCGCGGGAAGTTTTGTAAAGAACCAGGGTGTTGTTATCTAGTGAGGGAGGAAGTAACGAGCTGTTTGGATCCCTCCCAAAGGTTTTAAAATGTGGGTTTTGTTTTTTAATCCGATATTTATATCTTTCTCTCCGTAGCTCTGAGTACAATTGGCTTTTCCTCTCATTAACTGGTTTGAGTTCCACGACACAAACCAGAAATGCGACCAAAGTTAAACCTGCCGGGTTTTTGATAAAGCAAGTTATGACACTGACCATATCGAGGAGATACAGTGGCATTACGCGGAGACTGTGTACCATAAAAAATCCTTTTCTTTGAGAATTTTGTAAAGTAGGTGAAGCAGATAAGTGCGTGTGGTGACAAGAGTTAATGCATGATCTAAGTTATGTGGTGTTTTAGTGGGTATGAGAGTGCTTGAGGGGGGGGGGTGCTCATTTTCTTGACAGGAGTTCGATATATGAAGATGGGATGAGAGGAATGTGGTTGGATGGCGTGGGAGGATGTTGATCGTCTGTGAGGGCGTGGGTGGTGGTGGTGACTCTGGGCGGGCGTGATGGAAATATTGTGTGAATGATGACTTAGTGGCGAGAATCTGTGTGGTGAGTTAATCCAGTAAAGTTCCTCTTATCTGCAGAGTTTACTTTATGTCGAGCACTATGAAGACTGAGAACACGTGTACGACATAGGGAATAGTGTGTGTGTGTCGTTGGTGAAGTGGGAAAGAACTGCTGGTGGATGCTGTAACTTGAAAGACGATATGAAAGTGGAACATAGACGTGTGTGTGTGTGTGCTTTAATAAGGAGTGATTTACATAAGAAACTGAACATGTGTGTGTGTGCAAAAGTCAGTGTTTACGATTACGGGTGTGTACATGAGGGTGTATGTATGTATGTACATGAGGTGTGTACACATTTAGAAGTGTATACACGAACTTGTAACTATGGAGACATGTACACACAAAATCCTGAGTACATGGAGAAGAGTGTGCATGCAGGTGTGTGTACATGCAGGCACGTACAAAGGTTGTGGCCACACAGGAGCTGGTGGGTAGCCAACCACCGCTATTTTGACAGTCTCTTAGTGCCCAGGCGCTTCTACTGCCCACTACCACCACTCACACTACCACCATCACCAACAACACCACACACCACCACCATCGCCACTACCACCAACAGCAGCCTCCTCACTAGACCAGTAAATCTAATAGTCATCAACAATAAAAAATTAAGATAAATAGTTACTTGTTAGCGGGTTACTGTATTTATAGAGGGTGGATACACTCCAGTGAAACCTCTATTTAACGGACTTTATGAGAGTGTAGTCCGTTATACCGAGGTCCATTAGATATGAAATCTCCATATAACAGAATATAACCGTTAGATCGATGTCCGCTAATTAAAACCGTTAGATCGATGACCGTTAATTAAAACCGTTAGACCGATGTCCGTTAATTAAAACCGTTAGATCGATGTCCGTTAATTAAAACCGTTAGATCGATGTCCGTTAGCTATAACCGTTAGATTGATGTCCGTTAAATGGAGGTTTTACTGTGTAGGAATAGTTTGTTTGTGAGGATGGGTAATGTGGAGGCGAGAGGTGACGTCACAGGGAAGTCCAGTTGAGAATGGTCATAATGTTAAATATTTTCCCCGGTCGACTGCTGGGCGGGGCGGGGCGGGGAGGGGAGGGGAGGGGAGGGGAGGGGACGGGACGGTGCCAATACCTGGGTGGTTTGAACTCGCCAAGATGCCTTCGTATTCTCCTAAATAAAATAAAGTAATAAAACGCCGTGTTAGAAAATCCTCATTGACAACGTGTCTTTATTCTAACTGTTATGGTTAGGTTAGGTTAGGTTAGGTTAGTATTTGCGGTGTTTTATTACGATCTAAGCATTGTAATTATTTGTCCCTTTATATCTGTGTTAAAAGAGGATTATATATATTAATGTTTTTAGTGTCGAAAATCACACGAGCCAAAAAAATGTGTTGCAAACGCCACCACGTAGTGTCAACATCGCTGCAATACAAGGTTAAAAGACAAATAAATAAGACAAAATTGGTGATACTACAACACACGAGGAAAATCCAGAGTAAACCTAAAAACATTCATAATTTCTTTTCACTAACAAATTCAAGTTTTGGTGCGGTAAAATATTTGGCTCACGTCACATTGTATATACATTGTCTGTTTGTAGAAATCTCACATATTTTCTGTATTTTCGTATCAAAGTAAAGACACAAGGAACGTTCTTAGCTTCATATGTTGACACTGCCAGGATGTTATGACTGAACACCCGGCTTATGAGAGGCTGTGTTGGAGGCGGTAGTGAAGGACTTGTTGTTGGTGACTGGCAGCGTCAGATGTTTGTTTACATTATGTTGTTAAAGTGGGTGTACCAGGCAGTGTTACGGTCATGCGGTGTGGCAGTGTTACGGTCATGCGGTGTACTGCACAGCGTGAAGACCAGGTGGGTGTACCTGGCAGTGTTACGGTCATGCGGTGTACTGCACAGCGTGAAGACCAGGTCGGGCTGAGGCTTGGGGCAAATACCTAAGAGTTGTGTACAGTGCTGTCTTGTAGAACACTTGAGATCACATTAAGATTAACCACCCCCCCCCCTCTAGCTTATTTCAACTGGTGATTAAACACTAACACTACATGTGTGGTTGGTTAGGTTAGGTTAGCTTGGCGTTAGGATGGTTAATCTTCAGGTAGAATAAGCTGTAGGATAATCTTCACGTGATAAAACCAAATAGCATTAGTGAAAAGACGAGAAGCATCTATCTTGCCTTTTTATGAGATATATTTCCGATGGTTTTAAATTTCGAACTACAGATTCAATTTGTTGCCGGTGGGAAGAACACAGTGAACAAGTTTGGAAAATACAAGCAATATGAGCGTACGACTACCATAACGACTATAATTTTTCTTCAGATGTATTATGATTTAAAACACAGAAACAGAAAATAACTCGTTGGTTTAGAGAGGGAAGAAATACATCAGTGTAATGATTGACATTTTATATTGCAGGACCTGGATCTGGAACTGAAGGAGTCGAGGATGAGGTTACTCCACGAGCCCCGACGGTGAGTATCTGCAGAGGTGTGTTGTTTGTGGAGGTGTGAGGTAAATCCACCCCTGCACACCCTGACAGATCCCTCTCTCCCTCTTTGACCCACACCATCACATCTTGCGTACAACATTATCTACATGCCTAAAATAATATTCAACTAAACTAATTTAATATCTTATTTTTATTTCTTGTTAATTATTTTCTTATCCATTCCAATGAAGAATTAAATGTTTGCAAGTGTTAAGTTTGTCACCGCACCTTGTTTACTTATATAACTGGAATGGTTTCGTGTTTATATTGTTGTCAACATTGTTTGCATCAACTGTTTGCTTGTAGTTATAAACTGGACTCTAATAACACACACACACACACACTCTCTCTCTCTCTCTCTCTCTCTCTCTCTCTCTGCAGCATCCATTTTCTCATCTAAATAAAAGGAAAGTTATTTACGCTTGCAATTCCACCTAGATAATGCCACAGGTTGATGAAGGTGACTTAATAAATTGCTTAATTAGTATCAGGACATAACAGTAACAGTTGCGTTTAATTAATGACCTCGGTGAATTAATGGCAGCGGTTAATTAATAATTGATTAATTAGTGACAAAGGTGGTTAATTAATGACAGCGTTTAATTAGTGACAGAGGCGGGTAATTACAGCGGCTAATTAATGACAGTAGCGTGTGCAAGTGTCTGGGAAGTGTCTTGTGAGTCATACAAGTGTCAGGAAAGTGTCTTGTGAGTCATGCAAGTGTCTGGGAAGTGTTTTGTGAGTCATGCAAGTGTCTGGGAAGTGTCTTGTGAGTCATGCAAGTGTCTGGGAAGTGTCTTGTGAGTCATGCAAGTGTCAGGAAAGTGTCTTGTGAGTCATGCAAGTGTCTGGGAAGTGTCTTGTGAGTCATGCAAGTGTCAGGAAAGTGTCTTGTGAGTCATGCAAGTGTCTGGGAAGTGTCTTGTGAGTCATGTAAGTGTCTGGGAAGTGTCTTGTGAGTCATGTAAGTGTCTGGGAAGTGTCTTGTGAGTCATGTAAGTGTCAGGAAAGTGTCTTGTAAGTCAAAACATATAATGATTAATTCCAGATGACTCTCCCCCCAGATACCCCCCCCTCCTCCCAGATACCCTCCTCCTCTCCCCCTCAGATACCCCTCCCCCCCCAGATACCCTCTCCCCCAGATCCCCCCAGATACCCCTCCCCCCCCAGATACCCCCCCCCTCCCCCTAGATGCCCGCGAAGTTTTGTCCTGATAAAAGTCAGGTGTTTTGTGTGTGGTTGTGTGTGGGTATGTGTGTGTGTGTTGTGTGTGTGTGTGTTGTGTGTGTGTGTGTGTGGGGTATGTCTTCTGCAAGGAGTCGAACAGGTGTGCTGGCAGAAAGAGTAGAGGTGGCAACAGACAGGTGATTGGTCGTGGCCTTGCTGGTTGGTTGAGGGTATTATAATGTAACGTACGTGTGTTGCTCTGGGGAGGGAGGAGGTGGGGGGAGGAGGAGGAGGAGGGGGGAGGAGGAGGAGGAGGTGGAGGAGGGAGGAGGAGGTGGGGAGGAGGAGGAGGAAGAGGGGAGGAAGAGGAAAGGCTGGGTTGAAGGTCATCGTCATGTTTATACTGTTGCTGCTGCTCTGAGTTAAATACAGATGGTGTTATGACGCGTCCGTATACACACACACACACACACACACACACACACACACACACACACACACACACTCCACCACACACACGCTTCACCACACACACACACACACACACACACACACACACACACACCACACACACACACTCCACCAGACACACACACACACTCCACCACACACACACACTCCACCACACACACACTCACACACCCACACACACACACACCACCACACACACACACACACACACACACACACACACACACACCCACCACACACACACTCCACCACACACACACACTCCACACACACACACACTCCACCACACACACACACTCCACCACACACACACACACACCACACACACACACCCACCACACACACTCCTACATCCTTCCCTTACGCCGTTACTTCCTCATTGGCGTTAAGTTATCGTTATTATTGTTGCTGTCTTCACCACTTCACTATGTTTAGCACAAGGCCCGAGGGACCGAGGGGGTCACGCAGGCTACGTCCCAAACTCCTTCGCCAACAGAAAGACATAAATTTATCAACCTCCCAAAAATATATATTTACGATATTTTCCGGTAAACAGACTACAGGTAATATTTGTAGTATATAAATGAGATATAAAGACAAATATGCCTATATGTGTATAATTTATATATATATTACATTAATCTGTATCATGACCGTTTATATAAATCATTCAGGGTTTGTAAAATACGTTAATAATAAATAGCTTGTGAACATAAGCGACTGAATGGAAGTATATAGAGCCAGGTCTTAGTACTTACAGCTTACATCTTTACCAATCAATCAATCAAAGCTTCAATCAATCAATTAATCAATCAATCAATCTAAGCATTAAACAAACAATCAATAAGCTTTAAACAATCAACCAATCAATCTATGCCTTAAACAAACAATCAATCAATCAATCTAAGTTTTAAACAATCAATCAATCAAAGCCTTTAATTGCACCATTTTCTTTACTCTAGTAACCTATTGCCTCATCCTCCTTAATGCCTCTCCACTGCCTCATCCACCCACCTTGTTGCCTCTCCACTGCCTCATCCACCTCCTTGTTGCCTCTCCACTGCCTCATCCACCTCCGTGTTGCCTCTCTACTGCCTCATCCACCCACCTTGTTGCCTCTCCACTGCCTCATCCACCTCCGTGTTGCCTCTCCACTGCCTCATCCACCACCTTGTTGCCTCTCCACTGCCTCATCCACCTCCTTGTTGCCTCTCCACTGCCTCATCCACCTCCGTGTTGCCTCTCTACTGCCTCATCCACCCCTTTGTTGCCTCTACTGCCTCATCCACCTCCGTGTTGCCTCTCCACTGCCTCATCCACCTCCGTGTTGCCTCTCCACTGCCTCATCCACCTCCGTGTTGCCTCTCTACTGCCTCATCCACCCCGTGTTGCCTCTCCACTGCCTCATCCACCTCCGTGTTGCCTCTCCACTGCCTCATCCACCTCCGTATTGCCTCTCCACTGCCTCATCCACCTCCTTGTTGCCTCTCCACTGGTAAAAGAACTCACTGTTGTCCCGGGTGTAAGTCCTCTATGGATGTACAAATATTTTTTTAAGTATTTTTTTAACCTGGCATGTTCATTTCTTCTCTTGGCCTGTACTGCGTGCTTGGCCTGTACTGCCTACCTGGCCTGTACTGCCTACCTGGCCTGCACCGGCTACCTGACCTGCACCGCCTACCTGGCCTGCACCGCTTACCTGGCCTCTAATAAATACGTGTGTGCTTCTGTTGACGTTATATGTGTCTTCCTCTAGTCACGTCGTCCAGTCTCCATGCCTCCCCTACACGATACTGAAGGCAAGGTAAGTAAGTTCACCGCCTCCACCACCTCCTTAATTTATCATCAATATCTTATATCTTCTTCTTTATCATATTATTCCCTCTTCGTCTTGTGTAATGTTTACTAATTCCTTGCTACTACTATTTCTACTTTCTTATGATAGTTAAAATAGTAGGTTAGGATAGGGTTGGTTTGGTTTGGTTTGGTTTGACTTGACTAGATTAGATTAGGTTAGGTTAGGTTAGGTTAGGTTAGGTTAGGTTAGGAGGAGGAGGAGGAGGAGGAGGCAATCTTCAGGTGATCCATTTTTTTTAGCATTCATCTTCTCAAACCTGAATACTAAGAAAACCTCGCTTGACTGTGTTAGTAAATTATTCTAAATAAAAGGAATGATGACAAATCAGAAATAATATAAGAATCACCACAAACGATTAAAGTGTATGTATGGGCCATGACGCTGGAGCTCTGTACCACTTTCCCTCAAAATTCATAAAATGTGGTGAAATTTTGGGTTAAATTTCCCGTTACATATTTAACGTGGTAAATTGGTGATAATTATAAATCATCCAGTTAGATCCTGCGTATGTGAGCAGCCGTGTTGGTTTGTCGGGTACTGAGTTGTGAATGCTGCTGATATATACAGTGTGTTTATTCTGTCTTGACCGTAACCTCACCGTCAGCCGCCTCTCTCTTGGTCACTGTTTGTGGAGATCTCTGAACTATAAGTCTTAGTATTAAATAATAGCCTACAGTCTTGGGTCCACAACAGCTTTATAATGTTCTTACTAATTTTTCAGAAACCGGCCATGAAGTTGTTGATGAATCCCAAAGGCGTGCAAGACTTCCACGCAGTTCAGGAACATTACCAGACCCTCATGAACGCCGCGCCTCCCAGTCCCGAGGTGGGCAAGATAGTGACAGAGGTACAGAGCCCAACCGGGAAAGGTAAACAAAGAATATCTTCCTATGTAACACTGAAGATTATTACCTCTAATACATTGTTAACACCTGTGTATCAGGATATGTTAGCACTGTGATTGGTAATTGTTTTTTTTTTTGCAGAAATACATGTTTTTATTTATGATTCTTGGTTTATATACACTTCTTGTATTTTGCAGTTTAGATAGATTTAATATATTGGCGCATGTTATCAGCACTTTCTGTGATAATAATGGTTTGGTTCACTTAAAGGAGCGGAACTCTTCGCTAAAAGGAAGAAGCGGATGGACAAATTTATTGTGGACGAGACGACGGTGCAAAAGGCGCAACAGCAGACCACCACCATGACCCAGCAGTCGTTCAGCAGCTCTTCCAACTTCAGCAGCAGCAGCACCGGCACCAGCAGTTATAGCACCAAGAAACAAGCTGAACTTGAGCGGGACCGACAACAGGAACAAATCTTGGTAGGTGGTGACAACAACACGAGGTGACCGAGCTGTATAATGTCCTGCCCCAGGGCGCGGTGATGGTACACACACTGAGTAGCTGTTCACCACTATAGTTCCTTAGCAAAGATCAAAGTAGCCTTATAAAATTATTTTGTTACGTTTGTTTGATTGGTTTTCTATTATTTTAGTTATTTTTCATTTTTTTTCTGACCTTGGTGGGGCAAACATCAGGGAATAGTGATCACCAGTTCGGTCGAGTTGATTATTATATACAATGTCATCGGAAAGAAATGCCCAGACTTTAACCCCTCGACTCTGGAACCCCTTTACGACGACTCATTTTATAACTGGTGCAGCTGACACTCCTCGAGGGTATAACAAGCGCACACCTAACTGCACCAACCTATGGATAAACAACTCAATATTTCTTTGGTAACATTTCGACAATATCTCTGGTCATCATCACACCTATAGCCTCAATACAACAGCACCCAGGACTAGTTTACTCTATCTAACTGGTATGTACTGTAGTGTTCTTGGTCTGTAAAGTACTACTGCATCCTGATATTACGTTCCAAGTTTCTACTGCTGCTCTTAGCGAGTTTGCTCCTTACTGTAGGTTAAATTTATGCATATTTAGCAGTTAATATATTTTTTTTATATTCAGTGTAATAGTTTTTTCTCAAGACACTCAATGTGCCCATTTTTATAATTAATTTTATTTGTTAATTCGCGGTTTAGGATTGACGCTGTTTAATTTCGTTTCATGTCTCAGGTTTGATGATGATAAGAAATATTGTCGAAATGCTTCCAAATAAATATAATGTTGTTTATCTATAGACGTGCTGTTACTCATCCTACCCTATATATATAATATCATTTATATAAGATCAATCAAGCCTCACTGTTCATACAGATAATATCAACTTTACAACACTGTCACTGATATTTGCTCGCTGATCCACAACTTTTTCATTATTACCAAACTGTAGGCCACACAGGTTCACTTGACAGCCGTGCATGGTGCAGTAGTACATAAAACTGACGATGGTTTCACGTGGACACCAAAACAATCTAGTACTGTGATAGTATTTAGTCGTCCAGTGTTGGTAGTAAGGTCACGTCCTAAAGATGTGTGATGATGTAGCTGTTTGAGTACACTGACATATAACTGGGTATGGGATGGTTGGGTACAGGTGTGAGGTGTGGATCTGAGTGCTGCGGAGATGTGTATGGAAGGCGATGGTTGTGGAGGTGGAGAATTAGTGGCGTTATGGATGTGTGGCTTTGGAGAAGACACGATGTGGAGGTTATCTGGATGGAAATATTGGTGTGTGAGTGGAGGTGGTGGAAGTGGAGGCATGGGATGGATCAGTCGTCTTTGTGTGTGCTGGTTGAAGCACAGGGTGGAATAGTCAGCCTGGCATGCCATGGGCCCACAGGAGCAGTTTCTGAGGAGCCGGGAGTCGAGCATCACCATGGTGAAGACGCCGTGGGAAGCAGCCCTAGAGACTGGATGTGCCGCTAATGCCTTCGACGATAAGAGAAAGAGGATGCAGGTACACCACGCACGAATACAAATGCAAAAACGCTTATAAATGCACGCAAGCATATGCACACACACACACACACACATACACATACATGCACGCACACTGAATACGCTACCACAGACCTGCTGTCTGCTGCACACGCTGTCGCCTGCTGCACCCCCTAAAAGGTTTCTCTTGCAGGAACCACTTTAAGCGCAAAAGTAATCTGAATGCTATTGATATTTCTTGTAAATAATCTATAATAAATTTTTTCCAGGTTGGATAAAGAATGTTTTACCTAGCATGCCGTAATACAAGATCAACTCCTAACCGAGACCTAAATAATGAAAACGATGATTAATGTAATATTTTAAGTGTTATTATTTGTAATATTCTGATGAAGTCAAATATTGATCATTTATTGTTTTTTATATAAGATGTTCGGCAGCTATAAGTCAACTTAGACCTTAGTATAACGATGCTGAATATATATACAGTAGTGTGTCGTGCGATACGTAAAGCTCAAACACTTGCTTGAACATCATAATCATTATCACTTTAATTTGTCTCTCGTAACACCACAAATAGATGCATAAATACTTTTATTTAGGTATAAACTAAATACACCATATTGTTCTTGTCAGGGCCGGATTTACCAATAGGCCAAGTAGGCCTAGGGCCCACCGGTACCTGGGGGCCCACTGAAAGTAATATGTCGCGCAGCGTGCCAGCGTATAACCTTGTTTCAAGTGTACACCGAGTATTTCATTATATAATATATTCACAACCATAAGGGCCCCTGTACAATAAGTATAGGACCCGGAGTATGGGGCCCCTGTACAATAAGTATAGGGCCCGGAGTATGGGGCCCCTGTACAATAAGTATAGGGCCTCAGTGGTCTTCAACTGGCGGGCCATGGGGTGGTTCTCAGGTGGGCCACGGACTAGGCCCTATAGTAAAATGAAGAAAATAAGCTAAAATGACAAAAATTGTAAGTCTTATGCCTTACAGGATTTTTGGCCAAAAATAGATTTTGTTCAAAATCTCAGTACAGGTACTCCTGAACATGCTGATTAAGGAGCTGTTGACCAAAATTTGATGTCTGGATTATTACTTGTTCAAATGGCTTTTAGAAAATTGTAATTACTTTTGCATGTCATTTGAATATGTGTATATATATAGATATATGCTGATAACCACAAGGAAAGAAGAAAACACGAAGTTCCCAAGCGCTTTCGTGTAATTCACATCTTCAGGGGTGAATTATACGAAAGCGCTTGGGAACTTAGTGTTTTCTTCTTTCCTTGTGGTTATCAGCATATACCTAGATCACGCGCAACTACAGTGATTTACTTGCATATATATATATATATATATATATATATATATATATATATATATATATATATATATATATATATATATATATATATATATATATATATATATATTTGGGGGCCCACTGATGAGTTTGTCCTGGAGCCCACAAGTAGGAAAATCCGGCCCTGGTTCTTGTAATGTGTGCTTCAATATTCGGCTCTTGTAGACGTGTAGATCAATATGCTAAACAACAATGACCAGATGTTAAGCTTGATTCTTAATGTATCTCACAAAACAATGGTATACTATGAAGACTGAATACATTATATATTTCAGGCCAGCTTAAGAAAACCTGTCACGAACGGTAAACCCGAGGTAAACTTGTTAGATCATCGCACTGTACTGTGCTGGTGTTTAGTCCCCGGTTATAGTCCGCTAACTATTTTAATACAGTATTTTATTTGTAGTTCTTGACATATAGTGATTAGTAGTTGTGTAGTATTTGTGGCACTAGATTAGCCGTTACATATACTGTAGTATGTATTCAGGGCCGGTACAGGGGTAAGGCGTCCTCTACCCACATTTACGCAGTTAACTTTAAAAAACGACATTGTACACTGAGTGAAGCTCTTAGTTTAACACTACACTGAGGTGACCGCCTAGTCTGCTTAAGGGTCTGGCAGGTCATGGAACTATTTACTATAAAAAAAAATTAGACAAATTCCTTTTAACCTTATAATTTTTCTTATAGACTAAAGTAATATATTACGCAGTTTTACGTCATTTATATTAAATTATTTCATAACTCAAACACCAACGCTAGCTTAACGTAATCCAGATAAACAAGATTAATAAGATTAAACTTAGCTGTTCATGAAGAGGGAAAAGAGAATCTACTGACATTAAGCTTCACAAAATTAAACTTATTCGAACTTAACCTAACCCAAACTCAGTAGACCCATTACACTGAGCGTCCGTCTGGCTGGCTAAGATGAGCTGAGTGAATTTTTGTGTTTGCTTTGTGTGTATTTTATCTATAGAAGGTATAATTTTGGTTCATTATACGACTGTAACTCAACCAATACACATAGGCTTGATGTATATACTGTACCTTGGTAAAGGCCTCAAATGGCGATAGACATATTGGATGACGTGAAGAATAAAGATTAGCTTATTTCACCTTATGATTTAACACCTTGTAACACTACTCGAGGGAGCTAGGTCAGGTCAGGTCAGGTCAGGTTAAGGGTGTTTTAACATCAGGTAAAATAAGCTGGGGTGAATAAGCTTTACGTGATCCGATAGTCTCAGAGCATTAACTTTTTTTTTTTTTTAATTTTTACAGTGGTTAAAATTTGCTAAAAAGTTAATACTGTATAGACGTTTGAGTTCTGGTTCATGATTCCTTATGTTGTGAACCTGGGAACAAAGATGTCTTACTACAGTTTTATTTTGGTCTTCATCTTTTGTTCATCTTACACGTGTCAAAGGTCACCTAAAAATCATATAGGACTGTACCTTGTCAATCCCGACCTCTTTAATTTAATACTGTATCTGTACTGACTGTTATAGTGTGTGTGTATACGTTAACTCTTATATTACATAGGTAATGTTATGAGTAGTATTTATATAACTTACCGAAGTGAGTAATGAATAGTAAATGAAGACTCTTGATGAGTTGTATGTGTATTAGTAAGTAATGAATAGTGTATTTGAATGTAGGATCAATGTTGTCGGTGTTATTGTGAACTTTATCCTTCGTAAAATATTAACCGGGATTATATATGTAGCAATTAGCCCATAGAATACACTTAGTACCTTCCTATAAGTAATTATGTTAGCAATATGAATACTGAGCCTAATTACTTGATCTAATACTAAGCTAAACTTTTGTGACTAAACATCAAGAGTGTAGTGAGACTTAAGTTTGTTTCTTTAGTTCTGTGTACAATTAACAGCGCTGTTAAATCTCAGTGTACAGCCACCCTCAAAAGTCCTGTCGCCTCTCTTGCTGCTTCATGAACCCCGATATATAGACTTGCGAACCCGAAACCATAGATGCTTCGGATTCGCGAGTCTGAATCCCAAGGTTCATAGTTCAGGAGGAAAAGCGACAGGGTTTATTTGTGTGGGTGACTTAACATGATATTAACTCAAAGACCAGCTTCTTATCTTGACATCAGAATTAGTCAAACACTAGAATAAATTACCATGGGAGTAATTTTTGTGCTTATGTGTCTTACTAAAGCATCTTGATAATGGGTGTGCTTATTGATGTTAATATATACTACAGTACAGTCCTGCACTTTATCAGGTAAGTAAGGTCTTTCAGCAGGTATTCTCGGCTAGTTAAGCACTACAATGGTGATGAATTTAGGTGATTTAGATGTTAACGAAGGATGATTAAATTTGGATTATTGTGAGGAATAAGTCATAGTCGTAGGTAAACTAAGCAATTCAAAATTTTTAGGTAACTAATATTTAATCTACCCGGTATAATTGCCAGATAACTAATACATAGCCTACCTGGTATGTCCAACTTTGTATAGGAATCTGGTAACTTTTCTTGGACGTGTTAAGTATAATTATAAAAACAGTTGATGTCAGGGAATATTAATGACGAATTTGAAATCCTCCAAACTCATTTCCTGGGATTTTTGATCAATTAGTTTTTTCCTTCGTGTTCTTCTCCGTTTTGGTTTTCAAATATCTTTTACATACAGAAGCAAGAAATTTACCTTAATATTCAACTAGGCCAATTTTATGTCCACTTTGGGGGACACACACAGAGTTGTCAGGTATTATTGTTGAAAAAGAAATTACGAGATCCAATAAAGTATGAATTATGGACGTCAACTATTTCCAGCTTCTAATTACGTGAAATGAAGACCACAATACTCCTTGTTGAGAATCACATGAATCCTTAACCCCAGCTTATTTCACGTGACGATTCAACACCCTTACCTTACCTGGTGGGTTTAGGTTAGTTTAGGTTAATTTATGCGGCACTGGCCTCTGTGGTGGCTATAAATTCCTCAACAGAAGGAACACCATAGCCACATTTTAACACAGTGGTGAAATAGAAACACCAGCCATAAATTATATAGACAAACAACCATTTTCTTCACCCTTCCTTTTCTGTTCTTTCTCAACCAGAAAATACATAAGGTTATGAATGGAGACTCGTTTATAAGGGTTTCGAACTGCATGAAAAGATTTATTTACCTTTCCCTTTACACATACACAGTAAATGATCAGATTCTGCCGTTTATACATCAAGTACATCAGTGTCTGTTTATTTTTTGTGTTTAAGTTCGTATTAAATTTGAAAATACACAATCTAGAAATTTATAGTTGTATGCTGTATTATGAAGTATAGTTTGGTGGTCAGGATATACTCTTGTGGTGTATGATACAAGAAACAGTCGTCCCCATAAACATTTTCTCATGTGATAAACAAATAATAATAATAATAATAATGTGTTGCGGTACAGTTGGCAGACACCGTGTGTGAACGAGCGGACGCAAAAGCAGCAGGAGCGCCCTGGTTGGAGATGCCCAAACCCGTGCCTGTAAGCTCTCGGTGTCTGTTGTCCCGTGATAAAACAAGTGACATTATTATTGGTAAAATATATTGGTTTGAAACTTACAAAGGAAATGGTGATAAAGATGGTACATTGAAATTTTGAACTCCTCTCGTAAGCTAACTGATATTATGTTTCAGCTTGCCGCCCCACAGTTCTCCGCGCCACCACCACTTGCCTCAGGTGAGCTATTGATCGTTAATGTCTATGCACGGATACAGACGTTGTTTATGTACGTCTTCTGTCCTAGAGCAGTATTGTATATATTAACTTCAGAGACTTCCTGATTATCATTCTATACAGTAAAGGATTATTCTCCATAACATTTTGTTTATATTGAACACAAAAAGAATTTAGGCTCGTCGGTCTTGGGGAAATTAGAATAATTTTCCTTGATGTGCTTCTAACTATAAAGTAGTGGAGTTACATCAAATTAATATTATAACATGACAAGATTTTCTCCATGTATGATTTTGTAAACTTAAGAATTTGCTTTGCCTCTGTTAAAAAAATCCTTAAGTTTATGATGTACAGTAAAGGTTCAACTCGAGGTTCATGTTTGCACTTCAGCTTTTTTGTAGCTCTTTCTGGTATATTAGACAACATTTCATGAACAATATTTTTTGGGGTCCCCTTTTCCATATATCGTTTAAAGGTTTTCTTGGCATAACAAAACTAATTTTTAAGACGAGATCTATTTATTTCAGTGAATATTTTCTCCTTTTAGCAGACTAGTTTTGTTTAGTTGTATTAAGTATAGTAGAATGAATCATTGTTCCAAAGTTTCATTAGATAGATATAAGGTAACGGTTTGTGCAGTGTGTTGTGTGACCCCGTGAAGTAACTCTTGTGAATGCCAACTATTGAGCCCCGCCCATTCATCATTCACCTCTCATTACGCTAAATCACACATGCACGCCTTAATTATATTGTTTATTTTTTTTGTTAAAGGTATGTGTGTCCTCGAAATGTTATGACCATTAAGTTTTGCATGTGATGTGGAAATAATGCTTTTCTTTTAGCATTACTCTTTTTTTTTTCTTTCTTACCTTGGCCTTCCACTGTCTACAGGCCCCTTCAATCTCCCAGACCTGACAAACATCTTGACCAAACCCACTAAGTCAGATTCCTCCAAGTCTAAATTAGAATATTTCGAGTATAAACCTGTACCTCCAAAGTCTAAACTCTGGCAAGGGGCCACACACCTTGGAGGTGGCGACCCGACTCTGCCCACAACAGCCTGCGGAGCCAAGTCCTTGACGAGTTCCTCCGCCTGTTCTCCTGCCCCAGCACCACTCACCTTTGCTAGCACTCCCAAGCCTTTTGCAATAACACTTTCGCCACCGTGTTCTTCTCCAGCTGTCTTCTCTTGCGTCTCCACTGCTGTCTCAGATACTGCCAGAGATAATTCCTCTATAAATACAGGATCTTTCTCTCGTAAACTTTCTTGTCAGGCCTCTAACACACTCCCGGCTTTTCCTCATACTGGCGCTGCTACAGTCTACATTAAGCCATTAACTCCTGTAGCTTCTCCCAAACCATTGACGTCTACAGTCTTTCCAAAACCAGTTTCAGTTGCAGCCTCTTCCAAACCCCTAGAATCTGTGCACTCAACTCTAGGCGCCTTTATTCCAGTTGTTCCTAAGTATAAACCAGTAAGGTTTAAGATTTTGTCTCCTCGAGCTGGTAGTTTCTCTCCAAAACCTGGCAACCATGTTCAGTTTACTGCTCCTACTAATGCTGAGGTTTTTCCTCCGGCCACTGCCTCAAGTCCTCCTTTTGCTCTCGATGTTAAATCATGTGTCCCGTCAGCCGTGCATGATCCTAACCCTGTTACTGCCACTGCTACTGCCACACCTGGTCCTCCCCCCTCCACCCTCCCTGGTCCTACCCCCTCCACCCTCCCTGGACCTCTCCCCTCCCCCCTCCCTGGTCCTCCCTCCTCCACCCTCCTGGTACTCTCCCCTCCACCCTCCCTGGTCCACCCCCCTCCACCTCCCTGGTCCTACCCCTCCGCCCTCCCTGGTCCTCCCCCTCCACCCCTGCCTGGTCCTCCCCCCTCCACCCTGCCTGGTCCTCCCCCCCTCCACCCTCCCTGGTCCTCCCCCTCCACCCCCTGGTCCTCCCCCTCTCCACCCTCCCTGGTCGTCCCCTCCACCCCTCCTGGTCCTCCCCCTCCACCCTCCCTGGTCCTCCCCTCCACCCTCCCTGGTCCTCCCCCCTCCACCCTCCCTGGTCCCCCCCTCCACCCCTCCCTGGTCCCACCCTCCACCCTCCTGGTCCTACCCCTCCACCCTCCCGGGTCCCTACCCCCCTCCTCCCTCCCTGGTCCTATCCCCTCCTCCCTCCCTGGTCCTATCCCTCCACCCTCCCTGGTCCTCCCCCCTCCACCCTCCCTGGTCCTCCCCTCCACCCCTCCTGGTCCCTCCCTCCACCCTCCCTGGTCCTCCCCTCCCACCCTCCCTGGTCCTCCCCTCCACCCTCCTGGTCCCTACCCCTCCACCCTCCCCTGGTCCCTACCCTCCACCCCTCCCTGGTCCACCTCCCTGGTCCCCCCTCCCACCCTCCCCTGGTCCCTCCCCTCCACCCTCCCCTGGTCCTACCCTCTCCACCCTCCCTGGTCCTATCCCCTCCACCCTCCCTGGTCCTAGCCCGTACACCCTCCCCACCAATACTCTCTCGTCGGATCCTGATTCAGATAAATTTAAATCTGCAATACCACCCTTGTTTGTGTTCCCTGACGGCACCGATGCTGACTCTTTGAACGACAACACGACGAAATCGCACTACGACCCCAGTATTGAGCAGTGTGTGCAACAACTCACCACAGCTAATGAAGCCAGCCATCCGTTTGAAGTTTGCCTGCCCAATGACAGATGCCGTACAGCCCATCAGACCCAAGCGGTAGATGGAGTTGCAGTCTTGGATCTTCAGGGGTTGAACCCAGAGGTCAGCAACTCCAGTACATTCACTGCCTGCAGCAGCAGTAGTAATAATACTAGTAACAGCAAGGTTAGCAACAGCACCAACAGCAGCCGTATAAACAAGATTAACAGCAGCACCTGTTACAGCACGAGCAAGGTTAATAGCACCAGCAGCCACAAGCCAGCACGACCCACCTCTCTACCTCTCATCCCACTGTCAGCCTTTATAAATCATGTTACACCACTTAGTCCTTCACCACCGCCGTCTGCCTCTGTCATCCTTTTCTCTGCCCGTAGTCCACCTGCATGTGACGCTTCCCTTAATGCATGTCACTTATCGAGTTTTCATGTAGTGCAAAACCCTGAGTGCAATAGTGCCTCTCCTCCCTTAGTTTGCATAGAAGAGTCTATTTCTAAAAAAGACACTCTAGAGGTGCGTGTGCCACGTTCCTCAGGATCCTCACTCCCCGACTCTTCCAGAAACTCTCCCAAGTCTATGAATGTGTCCCAAGACTTCACCTTTATTGATTTGAAACCGACCGACGTAATTAAACAATATTTAAACTTCAATAAATCACAGCAATCTTTTCCTGAGACTGAGTCCATCTTATCAAATAGCGCTGATCTGATACAAGATGGTCAGTCAGTGTTCAGAACGCACGAATCTTTTTCACACCCTGATATCGATCCGAGAGAAAACGAAAATAAATGCACTAACCATAATGGAAATGGCAGCAGCTTGGTCGCAGAAGCCTTGAGCATGAACCCAGCCACAACTTTCATGACAAATGAGTCCATTCTCAAATTGCCGGGCACGGATATTAAAGAAGAAACTAGTACAAATGTGTACAAGAATGGCGAATGCTCGAAAATTTTGTCTTCAGCTAAAGATTACAAACAGGAGAATGGTACTATCGCCAATGGTGTATTCCAAGAGGTCCCTCATATCCAAATCTCATACCAGCAGAGAAAATCATCTTTAGACGAGGAAGAACTAAAAAAGTTCTTGCTTGAGATGGAAGAAAGCTTTGATAATCTGCCAACAGCGATAGACACCATAAGCGTGGATGACCTCAGACCGCCAGACTTCTACCGCAGTGTCTCTCGTACGAGTCTTAATGAAGAAGTCGAGGACCCAGACCATCTGGTCATTAATGGTATCGCTCTCGACTGCTTCGACGCAGAATGTCAGGACAGTCCTCAAGTAACAATGCAAATATCCTTGCATCACCCTCAGTATATACCTGGAGATGACGATGACTTAACATGCTTCACTTACGACCAAAATGAAGCTACAGTTAATTTGAAACCTGATGATGATGCTTCATTTTTGGTTCACGGGGAATATGACCAGAAGAAAGTGACACATACATCCTCTCTTGATAATAAGTCTCAGGAAAATAACATTAGTTCCTCTGGGATGAAATCATTGTCGCCATATGAATACAAATATGAGACTGTACCAACATTTACACCAGAGAGTGAGAGTTCATGTTTGTTAAATGTAAACAAAGGTAATAAGGACGTTTCACAACAGTCTCCATCTAATAAAATGTCCTGGGATGATAAAAGCACTGATGAAATTACGTCCCTTGTGGTTGAAAATCACCAAGAGGTGGAGTCCGGGCAACCAGATCAGGCGCCAGCAATTGTACAAACGCTGGGAGGTGAAGTGTATGAAAGGTCGGGGAATGTGGAGTCAGAGAAAAGTTTTAGTGAGAACGAGGATGTAGTTCATGAAGAGAGGACATCTGCTAAACTCCGGGAGCGCATGTTGTTCACTGGGATGAGTTCTATGTCCATTACTAACACGTCACCTTCACCACTGTTCCCGCCGTCAAATGGCACCAACCCTCCCACTCCCTCCGCAGGCACCGGAGCCATCTATACGGCCGAGGTGAAGGTCGTGCAGCGCGCCTCCCTACCGCCTACACCAGTCATTGACTGTAAGTATTCAGTCATTCAGTCACCTGATTAAATTACAATCATTTTGTTCTCAACATGAATAATCTTTTAATATATTTTATATCAGTACATTATTATATTGCCTTTTAATTGACATATAGTACTCCAGTGTTAGAAACCGGAGTGTATAGTAATATTTTCTTCATAATTTTATAGCGTATATATATATATATATATATATATATATATATATATATATATATATATATATATATATATATATATATATATATATATATATATATATATATAATTTGTTGGACAAGTTCATAACCCCAGACCATGGTGTCCACAGTACCCCAGCACTCTCTGCTAGAACTCATGACTGATGATAAGGATGACAAACGTCGCTCCATGAGCTTCAACCTCGCTGCCAAGGGGTGGGGCACCTACAATAAGTTCTACACGCCGGTCACCTTCGCCACGTAGAAGTTACAACATTAGGTGCTCGACAGTCTACAAGAGCCTCGGTTTAACGGTGGCGAGAAAACATCCCAACTAACTCTGCTGGGTTTCATAATTAATTATTATTTGTACAGTGAATCATTCATTTGCTCTAAACCCAATATAAATTGTTTGAATGCTATTCATTTGTTTCTTGCCCTAACAAATTATTTCAACCGCTGTGAATTTACCACCTGACGAATTTTCTTTTCTTTTTTCCTCTTTCTTTTCTTTCTATGGGTAAATCGTGGTCAGAAAAATGTTATTTTTGGGTTAGTTATCCAATCCCTGTTGAGTTTCCTTTTTATTGTATAGTTCAGTCATAAATTTTGCTTAGATTGGAAAGCATTCATAATCGTTCTCAAGTAGGGAAATAGGATCTTTGAATTTACCTCACACAGAAATGTCCATTGTCTAGTTCTGGCTATTGTATAATTATTTGTAGTGCTCTGCGATGGCGATGAGTGTCCTTTTGTGATAAGTATATATTATTAAGTTCCTCCTATGTTCTGATGACTGAAACTGCTGCCGCAACAGTTTCTCAAGGGATGATACCCAGTACAGGTAATATAGCCTTGCTTCTCCCTCTAATTCTCAGAGGCCAAAGCACTCCACCCCATATTGCTACATTCTAAAACCTCACTTGAACATTTGTAAATACCGAACCATATATCTTCCTTTAAAAAAAATGATTCTAAAGTATTGATCTCAGGTGAGGTTGACGAGTGTGGGAAAATAGTCAAGGTATCAAGGACTGTTTTAACCTTTGTTGTGCATTTTGGGTGCTAGCAGGTCCGCGGTGCCCTGCAGCTCTGTGCGTCCCTGGCTCACAAGAACTCGCCCGCGTCTTATGTACGGAAGTTGAGTATTGTTTCTGATTACACATCAATATATTTTCCAGCCATTTGCTTAATAACTGTACCTTCATCATCTCACTGCTGTGTGGTGAAAGAAATAAGTTTATCAATTTCCGTAGACAAGACGGTTTACGCTTGCCCCCCCGCGCTGGGCTGCATGACGCACTGGTGTTAGGTGGTCCTTGTTGGCTGTCAACTGAACCACCCACACCACGCCTACGGGCCTGTTCACACTGCACTGCCTAAAGCTATGTATCTTGTGGACAAATAAAACATGTACTGTACTACTAGTGAGTCTGAATTACTGGCCACGCGAGGGTTATATCGCATGTACTGCTCTATGTTTAATATATGAGAGAGAGCATAGCTTAGTACTGTACTGCATATACTTGTGCTGTCCAAGATTGCAGTTCACTCAAATCCTACGGACTAGTTTATGTTATTTTGTTCGGTACTTTAATGGTCAATGGGTGAATGGTAAATATCCTATATCAATATTCATTATTGTAGCACATACAGTATGTACAATCGACCAAAGATGCACTGACCCCACCCTGGGTCTCGTACTCGCAATTTTACCTGGCAATACTTGGTAAATTAAGGCTGTATGTAATGGTGATTGTGATTGGTGGATCTATTTTCGGCTGTATCACTGTCAGGATAAATATTAAACAAACTAAAGGCAGTATTTTTATGATAATAAACTATTCACCATTATTTTAGATCATGAGAAGTTTCCAAATGTTCGTACATTTGCTTAAATAATGAAGAAAATTTGATGTGAGAATCTTGTGGCAGCTTGGTTGTAGTTAGTTGCCAATTCATTAATATAATTTCCTCTTCACCACTGATCGGCTCGTTAGCCGCTTGGGCGATCGGTCAAGTCTGTTACGCACTGTTGGCAAGTACTGGGTATGTACTGGCGCCTGAATGTATCTGAACTTGCTCCACTGCAGCCCAAGTCTGGTCTTGAAAGAGCTCACACTTGGTGTCGTCGGAACACAGATTGTTCCAAGAGTTTACAATTCTCACTCCGAAAAACTTACCCCTCACAGTTTTCTGGGCTTGCGGTTTCTTCAACCTTGAGCTGTGACCCCTTGTGGGGCGGGTATTCGCCAGCTCCGGGAATGGACATTCGACTGAGTAGTGCCCTCTGAGATGTATATACACTTCAATTATGTCACCCCTTGCCATAATTGAAGTGTATGAACACCTCAGAGGGCACTACTCAGTCGTCTGTCCGTACATGGAGCTCGTGGAAACTTGCTCCACAAACAAAACAAATATGAAAAAAACCCAGAATAGTGGTTAATACGCTCCTAGCCAAGCAGGCTATTTCTCTCCAAAGAGCTGAGTGCTATTCTTGGAATCCACCAAAACGTTTATTAGAAGATTAAAACAAGGACGATATCACCGATGGTGCATTGAGAATCTCCAGAGGTTGAAACAAGAAAACAAAGTAACACTACAAGCAGCAGATTCATTCATTGGAGATGAAAATACTATGATGCAAACTTTCTTGCAAAGATTCTTCCTTTTTTTTCATCTTGAAAGAAGTGTTTCATGTATTCACTCAGACTTTTTGATGGTTATTGATTTACTCAGAACTAAAACTTTAGTTAAGTCTCCCAACGAATAGGTTTCATTTTCTTTCATTAAATCTTTTGTTTGATGCTGTATCTTACTTAATATTCTGAATCTGTAATAAAATATTATATCTTTAATGATGCATGGGTGATTTTATCATACCTTGAAACAAATGTATCAATCTGGAAAGATTTAGGTGCCACTCTTGAAAAAAGAAAATCATGTGTGGCAACTCTGCCTAAGTGTCCTTCAGATCTAAGCAAGTAAACTGATAAGTGGTGAAATAACAAATTACTGCCTCTCTTCTGATTACTGTTAACATAATATTCTTAAAGAAGGCAAAACATTGTTTTACAACATAAATTACATTTACGAAAGTTACTGTAGAAGGCAAAACATTGTTTTACAACATAAATTACATTTACGAAAGTTACTGTACAAATCACATAACTTTATACAGAGCAATATCTGATCTGCAGTTGCTTCGTTTTGAAAGTTTGCCAACAACAACAAAATTGTTCTTTCAGCAAGCATACTGATGATCATGGCCATGTATAAAATAGACTTAAAAAATTTGAAGGATGCTCATGGGCACCGATGTGGCAACCGTCGGCTGCCAAGTACTGTGTAATCACTCACACTCCTCCTGGCAACAGTCTCTAGTGCACACGTCTGTCCGACGGACCTCTACCATGTTTAGCGAAGAGCTGCTGCAGGGGCTTGAATACGGTGGGAAGCTGTTGCAAGGATTTGGATATGTAAAGGACGTTTTCGCCGTCATTGGGATCCTGTACGTGGGAAAAGTGACCACGTACCTGCTTTATGACGTGGTAACAGGAGTGAGAACTCTCTTTTGGTCCAGATTGTGGGACAAACGACTTGTTGCCAAGTATGGCAAGTGGGCAGGTTAGCACATTGTTTAGTGGTCAAAGTCACAATATGTAGCTGATAATGTTATGTACGTTCTGTTCCATTTGTAGGATTGTCACACTGTAGAAGTCTGATGTAGAACAATGTAGTGTTATGATTGCTTGGCACATTGACAGTAATGATCAAGGCACAGCCATAGGCACTTAACATGTTACCCAATTATTTAATCTAAAGGAACCAACACGGAAACATACTCATCATTGTTACATATTGTTAAAAAAATAAGTCCATTTTTATACACATAGGAACCAAGACTGACCTTGGATGCATGCTGTCCCCATGACTACTATAACCTTGAGTATCGAGTCACTCTACCCAGGGGAAGCCACCTGACTCAGCGTTAATATGAACCCAACTTCATGTACGACATTTTAGATTCAGAGAACAGCTTAATTCGGTATCATATAAACGTTCACCTCCTCTACCCCTGTTTACACTCGGCTGAATGTTAAACAGGGTGTCTCATTGGTTGCGCATCACAGGATAATTAATGTTCTCTTTTTGTTCTTGTTTATTTATGTGATAGAATCAATGCAGATCAACGAAGATGGCAGAAAAATTAGCACTATAAGAAAGATTTGGTTTAGTGTTCATGAACGGAAAGGCAGATGTTACACACAAAATAATTTAACATCACCCAGGCATATGGATGTGGCCGATAAAATTCTTTGGTAACGGATCGATGTGTAGCATCTTGCACTCCGTACATGGATAATACACCGACTCTGTCTTGTAATGCCAATTTCTATACCATCTTTATTAATTTGTTATGATTTCCTCACATAAAAACAGAGGAACATTAATTTTCCTGTGGTGTACAACCTTTAAGACACACTGTACAGCATAACAAAACTTGCTTATCTTTGTAGTTGTGACGGGCAGCACAGATGGAATTGGAAAAGAATACGCCAAGAAGCTGGCTCAGGGAGGCATGAACATCATCCTCATCTCACGCACCATGGAGAAGCTCAAGAAAGTTGAAACCGAGATTGGTAAGCTCATACATTTGTTGCACAGCGTACAGGGATATGTTGTGTTGTTTGTTTTTCTGTCTTCTGGAAACAAATTATGCCAAATATGTCTCGAATTACATAGGCGCGTTTCACAGATGTAAACATCATCATAGTTCGGGAAGTGTGGGCAAAAAATCACGAACAAGACAAATTATGGAAGGCATGCATTCCTATTTATTTCTGTTTACATACTCTTATTGTTTAGTAATTTTCAGTGGGCGACTGCTTCCCTGCTGACCAAAGTGTTTGGACTGTAAATTACCATAGTCTAAGCTAAGCTATCCAGCCAAACAAAGATAGTTAGAAAAAAAAATATGATTGACAATGTTACCGGAACCATACTCTGAACTGACAACAGTGGCAGATTATGAAATTCATCTCTCACTTCCTGTGAAGGTTTTAGTTGAATTTGGTATTTGATTCACTTTGTGATTTGGGATTCATAATACATTTTTTTCAGACATTAACTTAAGTTAAGTAAAATTTTTGAGCATTTCATTTCTACTGTTTTAATTACAAGTCAAGAATACACAACTTATCTACATGATTCGATAGAATTTTGTTTTGTTTTAATGCAGCTTTTTTTATTATGTACAGTAGATTGTATTACAACAGAACACAATATTTCATCTCATATCAAAATTGAACCACATTAACAAGCATCAAGTCTCACTAACACTAACCTAAAGAGTAAGCAATAATGTTTTAGCTGATGAATATGGAGTAGAGACTGAGGTCGTTCAGGCAGACTTCAGCCAAGGGCGTGTAATCTATGAGGACATCGGAAAACACCTGCAAGACAAGGAGATTGGAGTTTTAGGTGAGATCCTAATAACTAGATTGTTGTATCTGAGTTTGATCTAAGCCACGTACCTTGTTCTGTATGATGCAAACTATACATTCCACAGTACAGTTATGTAAAATATTGTCAACCATACATATGAATAATTTCTAAGACCTACAATATTAATTTTATAATTTTTTTCAGTAAATAATGTTGGTGGGGTCGCAAACTTGCCAACCAAATTTGGAAATTTAACAGACCATGACATCTGGGCTCAAGTCAACGTGAACGTAGCATCAGTGCCCGCCATGACCAATTTGGTCCTCCCTGGAATGCTTGCTCGGCGCCAAGGAGCCATCATCAATATAGCTTCCATAACGTGTCATGCCCCAGTTCCTTACCTCGGGATTTATTCAGCTACAAAGGTATTTAAGTGATTGAGTTATATTTCGTTAATAATGTTGAAATAGCATAGTTTATCGTTGATGATCATTATTATGTTTCTATTGACACTTCATGATCCCATTGAAAGGTTAGAGATTTTGATATCATCTTTGGTAGGACACGATATCCTCATAGATGGTTGTTATTTTTCGTTGGTAGGCCTTTGTGGACTACTTTTCGACATCGCTGTACGGGGAGTATAGTGACTCAGGCCTCACCATCCAGACCATCAATCCTGGTTACGTCTCGACCAACTTGACCAGTTTTTCAGATTATGTCCATACCCCTGGTGAGATACTCGCTTTATTACTCCCAAATTCCTATCATATGAAGAGATGCATTAGTAGAAGAGAAAAGACAAGAACAAATAACCTTTCCTTTAATTGTTCTCCAAACGATATTTTTCTTCCCATAGGCATCAGTGTCCCAACAGCTTCAACATACGTCAACAGCGCGTTCTCCACTTTAGGTTACTCCCATCGCTCTAGTGGCTACTGGAGTCATGCTTGCATAGTGAGTACGGTACCATAGGTTTGATTTTTTTCTGTGATTTAATATAATTTATTTTTAAGGTTGAATTGCATAATCAATAATATAACTTAGATAAGAAAAAGGTTTAAATAGCAACGCATATAGCAACGTTACAGGTACTTCTAATAACAATGAAGTTGATGTTTCTAAATATCATTAAAATATAATTTAGGAAATTGTATGATAATTATTTATGTTCTGTGGAAAGATTGGTTCAGTTTCAACTATTGTGAAATGCCCGTACAATGTCAGAAAGATTGTCTTTCTTAATGTATGAAAGTTGTTGTTTAATATGTAATCTTCAAGTCAGTGAACGTAAAGATGTTTACTGGAAAATGCGAGCTTGACGTACTCCACAGGAAATCAAACTTATTGATTTCATTCTAGTGCACGTATGAATGGAGTACTGTCTTACAATTTCGTTGGCCTTGGGCTGTGTGTATGTTGTGAGTGCAAACTGAAAGCAAAGTTGGTTTTATTTATAAAGTATTTCCCCTTCTTTTCAGACTTACATTATAGATAACATCTTCGGCCGGTGGATGACCTCATACTTGAGTGGTGCATTTGAGGCATTCCTGGAAAGAGACGCCAAAAAGAAGAAACAGTAAGCACGTAAGTTATACTTACTTACACAGCCAAGCTAATACATTTATTATGCAATGATGATGCTGTGCAGTTTACTAGGTGTGGGAGAGTAGGAGGATTCGTACTATTATGTGAAGAACTGGGTGATTACAATTGGTCTTCAAGATTTTAAATATTTATTATGAAAACACTAACAAAGTTACAGCGAAAAGTAAGTTATACTAATAAAGAGAAAATCAAAAAGTTTTATTTCCAAGCTAAGGCAGTTCAATATGAGCTGCTTTTGTGGCTCTACAGACATTGAAGCTTTGTTCTGTTAACCCCTATACGTTATGTAACATATATGGAACTTTTCTAACAGCCACACTCATCCTTTCCTTTAACATTTTCAAAGTTGCAGGCATTAGTGGAAGAGAGATATCATTTTTGCATTGCCTCAGGGGAAAAAGTAAAATTTCTCATAAATGTTTACAATCGGGGAGATGATGGGGAATAGTAAAGGTAACTAATGGCTTACAAGAGAGAAGGACTAGATCTCAGTGTAATGATAATATAAAATTAATGTAGAAGAGATGGAGGAGGTCGTGAGAAAAATTATATATTTGGGAGTACAATATATTCAAGATAGCAGAAGAAATTAGTAGTTTTAGAATTATTATGGTACTGAGAAATTGACCGAAAATGGATTGATGATATGCCTGGTGCTATATACTCCACCCTCCAATGTTTGCGGATGATGTTCGGTAATTCAGTGAAATTAAGTACCAAACGGAGTGTGAACGGCTACAGGAGCGGTCCACCGAGGGCAATCACTTCAGGTTGAAAATCCAGCCAGGGAGGAGACGAACCAACAGCAGGGGTTCACTTGAATCTTGGGTTGTATATCGTAACGTGCGTATTTCTCTCCCACAAGTCCAGGGTTTGAATCGCCTCTGGTTTAAATGTATGTCTGACGTAGCACGATTTCCCTCGAGTTTTGAAAGAGTGTAAGGAACTGATTAGCGGACCCCTCGTAAATTTACTTACTAAATCATTAGACACGGGAGTTGTGCCAGACTTGTGGAAACAGGCAAATGTAGTACCCATATTCAAAAAGGGTGACAGAACATCAGCGTCAAATTACCGGCCGATTAGTTTGATGTCAGTAGTGGGGAAATTTCTTGAATCAATTATAGCAAATAACATCCGATCGCATTTAGAGAAAAACAAATTAATCTACGATTCTCACCAAGGGTTTACAAAGGGAAAATCTTGTCGAAAAATCAGCTGACGTTTTTTTAGGAAAGTCTTCGAGGTAGTAGATTATGACGAAAATTACGATGTTAGTTACTTAGACTTTAGCAAAGCGTTTGACAGAGTACCGCATCAGAGGCATCCGAGAAAAGTTAAGGCTCATGGTATCGAGGGGAAAGTTTTAAATTGGATAAAATCATGGCTTACCGATAGAACACAGAGGGTCAGCGTAGATGGTGTGAAATCTGAGTGGGGCTGTGTAACCAGTGGGGTTCCCCAGGGGTCAGTCCTGGGCGCACTCTTGTTTATAATCTACATAAACGATATAGATACTGGGATCAGCAGTGACATACTGTAAGTAAGTTTGAGGATGACTCCAAAATAGGGCGGCAGATTAATTCAGGGAAGTATGCAAATGCACTACCGGAGGCTTTAAATAAACTGCAGGAGTGGTCAGTAAAACTGCAAATGAAATTCAACACCAGCAAGTGCAGCGTTTTTAATATTGGAAGAACAAATACTGTCAATATATACAGCCTTAACAACATCAATCTAGAGAAGTCGACTTGTGAAAGAGACTTGGGGGTACTTGTAAGCCCGGACCTACGGCCTAGAAAACAGTACGTTAATGTTCGAAATAAGGCAAACAGAGTATTAGGTTTTATATCTAGAAGTGTAAGCAATATGAGTGGAGAGGTCTTATTGCAACTATATCTTGCGTAAATCAGGCCGCACCTCCATTATGCGGTTCAGTTCTAGTGCCCTTATTATAGAATGGATTTCAATCCACTGAAGTCGGTGCAGCGAAGAATGACGAAAATGATTCCGGGACTTAGAAACCTTCCATATCAAGATACGTTAAATAAACTAAACTTGCATTCCCCAGAAAGACGAAGAGTGCGGGGAGATAAGATAGACGTATTTAAATGGGTGAAAGGAATCAATAAAGGAGATATAGATAAAGTTCTTATAGTATCCGAGCAAGATAGGACCTGTAGCAACGGATTTAAGTTGGATAAGTTTAGGAGGGGGATAGGAAAGAACTGGTTCACAAATAGGGTGGTTGAGGAGTGGAACAAGCATAGCAACTTTGTAGTAAGTGGTGGAACGCTGGAAAGTTTTAAAAGGAGGCTAGATAGATTTATAGATGATTGAGAGTGGTAGTAACTCTCGACAGGAGCTGCCATGCACAGGCCTACCGGCCTATTACAGACTCCTTATGTTCTTATCACTTTGTAATACCTGTTGTGCATCACATTAATTGTTTTAAATAAGTTCTGGAACTCTTAAGTGGCAGGGCTGAGGTAAACATTTATTTTTGTTTTTTTCTTTATTGTTGAAGTAATCATATACACAGATTATGTGTTGTGAATTATCTCCAGGGAAGTGTTTTGAGTACACTTATATCATGAACACTTAAGTTACATGTTCACCCCTTAACTAGTGGTAAGACTCTGGCCCCTCTCCTCCGAGCGTGTGAGCGGAGAAGCGGGCGTGAAGCTGCGTTTTGATTAGTCAGGTGACCTCGCTCGACTTCTGATAGAGTTTGAGCCGCGTATAACGTGAACAACTACCAAGTCATTGTTTAATAACTTAGTGAATAATTTGGTGTTATTCATTTGGGTGACTATTTATTTAATGCAAAAGGTGCTGTTACAACTTTCTCGCCACCGCAACACTCATTTCACCACCACAGTCACTTCACCACAATCACTCTACCACTATCAATTCACCACTATAACTTCACCACAACTGTTTCACCACCTCCACCACAATCAGTTCACCCCATCACCAGAATCACTTCACCACCATAAGAACATAAGGAGTCTGCAATAGGCAAGAAGTAGGTAGTAAGCAGCTACCAATCAGGGAGGTACTACCGCCTGGGAAGATATTGGAAGCATAATGTGTTGTTTAATGGTAGACCCTGCTGCCAAATGGCATCACGAAAATTGTGATCAAGTCCCAGGTCTCTGATCTCAATTTTTGCCTCATTTGCACACAATTGCAGGGTCTCAATTGCATGATTCATCTTCAACATGATACCTACTGTATATTTTGAGTTAATCTGGGGGTTATTATTGAGAATCTGGTGGAGATAATATAAGAGTCATTATAGTGTTTACCCTGCTTGTTGTTGTGACCACTCGTGTGACTTGTGGTAAATTCTTGATAAAGAGGAGTGCTGGCATAACAGTCTGAAGAAAAAGTGATTTTAATTCTTGTCGCTCTGCAATATATACAAAAAAATATTTTTGGTTAATGAAATTATAATTTCACAGGTATTAACAGAAAATACTACTCCAGGGAGGATGAGGACCATAACTTGGTGTACAGATGACGAGGCAACATCAAGATGGACAAGAGAAACGATCAAGAGTACAGTAAAGGATGAACATTCTCTAAATAACTCAGTCTACCAAACATGACAGGAAGTTGTATTGTATATATGTAAGTGTTGGTTAAATACGTCCACATAAATACTAAAACAGATTATAACAGTGTGTTGAAATCTTATCTACTGACTACTGTAGAGATACTGCAGCACTGTAGGAGTGAGGAAAGAACAAGCAATATTATGTAAGAGTGAGGGAAGGACATGCGGTGATGTGAAGGAGTGAGGAAGGGTTATGCGGTGTTGAGTAGGAGTGAGGGAAGGACATGCAGTTTTGTGTAGGATTGATGGAAGGATTTCTAGTATTGTGTAGGAGTTAGGGAAGAACTTCTAGTATTGTGTAGGAGTGAGGGAAGGACTTGCAGTGTTGTGTAGAAATGAGGGAAGGACTTCTAGTATTGTGTAGGAGTGAGGGAAGGACTTGCAGAAAATAGTGAAACGAGGGGCTATCTCTAGTACAGTGGAGTGAGGGGAAGGACTTGCAAGTGCTAAAGGAGGAGGGGTTGACTTGCAAGTTAAGTGCAGGAGGAGGGAAGCTATCCTGCAGGCTGCAGGAGTGAGAAGGACTGCAGCAGCTGTGTAGAAATGAGGTAAGTATTCAGTATTGTGTAGAGGAGGGAAGGAATGCTGCAAGTTGTGTAGAGGAGGAAAGACATGAAGGATGTGTGCAGGAGGTGGGAAGGATGTGCAGGGGATTGTGTAGAAGTAGAGAAGGAATGGAAGTTTTGTGTAGGAATGAGGGAAGGACTTAGTTTTGTGTAGGAATGAGGGAAGGACTTGTAGTTTTGCAGGAGTGAGGGAAGGACTTGTAGTTTTGTGTAGGAATGAGGAAGGACTTGTAGTGTGGTGTATGAGTGGGAGGAATCTGTAGTATGGTGTATGAGGAGGGAAGGCCCCAGGTGTTGTGTATATGTGAGGGAAGGACTTGTGGTCTTGTGAAGGAGTGAAAGAAGGACTTGCACTGCTGTGTAGGAGGAGGGAAGGACATACAGTATTGTGTAGGAGGAGGAAAGGCATCCGCGCAGGAGGAGGAAAGGACTTGCAGAGTTGTGTAGGAGTAAGGGAAGCACAAACCCAGCACGCAGAGCTGGTGTTTTACCTCAAATGCGTAGGAGGAGGGGATGAACTTATGTTGTGGGAGAGGAGAGAAGGACTTGTAGGTATTATGTTAGAGTTAGGGATAAAATTGTAGCATTGTGTAGGAGTTAGGATGACCAGTTGGAGTGAGGGATGCACTTAGTGTTGTGTGGGATTATATGAACTTGTAGTATTGCAGGAAGAGGGATGGACTTGGTATGTTGTGTAGGAGAGAGAATTTCGTATGCAAACGCTCACACCGTCCCACCCCAAAGACCTAAAACACGCAGCTTATTCGGTGTTGTGAGTTTCATAAGCAACCAAATACATTGATTGAGAGGTAATTGTGGTCCTTCAGTAGGTAGGACTATATTTTATATATGTTCTATATAAAAGTCCGTCATCCAGCGTTACAGGCTACCGTCCAGCACAAGTATGTACAGCCAAAACGCCAGTCCAGCACCGTTGAAAAGTCGCCGCTACCGGTACAGGCACACCGTGCGCCCGCGCAGGAGGTAGACGAGCCTGGCTGGTGATAGTGTGTGGTGCAAGTGTTGTACAATTGGTCTGGTTCTTAATGCCGTTTTATTCTGCCAAAGCGCCCTCTCATCGTTGAGGCTCGAGGTTCCAGTTTTTGGTTAATTTAGGTTGTGGCCTGCTCCCATTCCCACTAAATTGTTCCTACTGACCTTTATCAGTGGCTTCCATGATTCATTTTCAACATTGAGGATACCTATTATTTTGAGTTATTAATCTGAGGGTTATCGTCATAACCTGGAAAGCACATAATATAAGAGTCATTATAGTGTTTACCCTGCTTGTTGTTGGGTGACTCACTCGTGTGACTTGTGACTCGATCAAAGTGTAAATTCTTGATAAAGAGGAGAGTGCTGGCATACAGTATTATGAAGGAAAGAGGAGTAAGTGATGACTTGCAGGGTTATGTAGACGAGGTGCTGTCCCCCAAAAATAGCAGTGATCGAAGCGGATGACCCAGTGTTGTGTAGGAGTGAAAGAAGGACTGCAGGGTTGCAGCACACAAGTTTGGTTCCAAAGCCTCAGCCTGAAAAGAAGGCTTCGTAGTATCGTAGAGTTAGAAAGGGCTCTAGTATTGTAGGAGGAGGGAAGGACTTGGGTAATATTAAGTGTGAATGAGGGAAATGACTTCACTTGGCTGCAGTAGGAGTGAGGCTAATCGTGGTGGTTTGTAAGAATAAGAGGCTGACTCAGGTGTAGGAGCATGGGAAGGACTTGTAGTGTGGTGTAAGGAGTGAGGGAATGACTTGTAGTGCGGGTGTAGTGGAGTTAGAGGAAATGACTTGTAGTGCGGTGTAGGAGTGAGGAAGGACTCTGTAATTTCAGCTGTTGAGTTAAAGGACCTAATGCACAAGAAGGAGGAAGAACAAAGTGTAGATGAAAGGGAATGTAGTGTAGGAGTGAGGGAAGGACTTGTGGTTTGGTGTAGGAGTGAAGGAAGGACTTGTAAATGGTAGGAGGGAGAGAAGACATGTAGGAGTTAGTGTGCTGACTTGTAGTATTGTAAGAGCAGGAAGGCTAGTGTGTGTGTAGGAGTGAGGGAAGGACTTGGTGTGGTGTAGGTGTGAGGAAGGATTTGTGTATTGTGTAGGAGCAGGGCGATCCAAAGTACGCTGTGAGGGAAGGACTTAGTGTGTCATGTGAGGGAAGGACTTTAGTTTTGCAAGGAGAAAAAAGAATTTATCGTGTGTGAGCAAAGGATTTACAGGGTTGTGAAGGCAGAGGGAAGGACTTGTAATGTTGTGGTATGAGTGAGGAAGGACTTGTAATGTTGTGTAAGTGAGTGAGGAAGACGTGCATAGGAGTGACCATAGACTTGTGGCGTTGTAAAGCTTATAACTTCTAATACACTGTTGCACCTTTTTTATGTGATTTGTAACTAGACAGTCAGGAAGTATTTGTTCAACTTACTGTTTTGGGAGTTAGTTTCATCTTCATTTGCAAAACAAAATATTTATTCTTCCTGGCAGTGAAATACAAGAGGTTAGTTTAAGATTTTACTGTAACATTAAGTAATTATTATAGCCTTACAACTTACTTGTAACCGATGAGCATTTCTGTGAAAAACTTTGGAAATTGTAAAAAGAAAAGATTGTATGTTGTAAATGTTCTGAGGCAGTATGTCACTCCTTGGGCTCTGTGAGGCCCCCAGGCTTACTATGCCGCCGCCACGGACTGTTGGGCTAATTAGGCTGTGTGATGATCATAGGTGGTTGTACTGTATAATGTATTTAAGGACTATGTAAGGTCGTCAGAGTGTAGCCCTGATCCAACCAGAGGCTGCTTGTAGGCTATATTGTGAATATCAACTTGAGATGTGTGAGGTTTCTTAGAGAGCTACTGTACTTGTGACTGAGGGGTTAATTGATGCTCCTCATGTCTGTGTACAGAAAAGATGAATATCCTAAGTCAGTCTACCCGATGACAGGAAGTTGTATTGTGTATAATATTTACGTTGGTTCGACAAAGTCTTTTAAATGTACTTAAATATATTATAACGGTGTATTGAAAAGTTTATCTACTGATTACCGTGTAGGACTGAGGGAAGGACATGTAGTGTTGTGTAGTATTGTCGGAAGGACTTCAGTATTGTGGTAGGAATGAGGAAGGACTTGTGTGTTGTGTAGGACCTAGGGAAGGACATGTATTGGTGTTCGTAAATGAGAAAAACTTGTTGACCTCCTAATGAATGCAGAGGTGAGGACTTACTGACCCTGGTAATTAGTGAGAGGAGTGACTTACTGACTACTAGGAAGTGAGAGGAGGACTACTGACCTACTAAGGAGTGAGAGGGAAGACTTACTGACCTACTAGGAAGTGAGAGGAGGACTTACTGACCTAAGGAGGAGAGAGGAGGATTTTCAGTGTTTTATAGGAGGAGGAAAGGACATCCAATAATGTGTAATATGAGGGAAGGACTCATTGTGATGTATAGGAGGAGAGAAGGACTCACTGTGATTTGTAGGAGTGTGGGAAGGACTCAATGTGATGTGTAGGGAGGAGTGAAGGTCTCTGCTGTGATGTGTAGGAGTGAGGGAAGGACTCACTATGATGTGTAGTATTGAGGGAAGGACTTCAGTATTGTGTAGGAATGAGGGAAGGAATTGTAGTGTTGTGTAGGAACTAGGGAATAAGGCAGAGGGATGTTCGTAATGAGGGAAGGAACTGCTGACCACCTAATGAATAAGAGGAGGATTTACTGGACCTGCTAATTAGTGAGAGGAGGATTTACTGACCTAAGGAGTGAGAGAAGGATTTGCAGTGTTTATCGGGGTGAGAGGAAGGACATGCAATGTTGTGCACGAGCAAGGGGAAGGACTTGCTGTAAAAAGGAGGGTAGACGGCAATGTGTTGGGGACTGAGGGAATGACCTCATTGTGTTTTTGCAGGAGTGAACGAAAGGCATGCAGCGTTGTGTGTAGTATGAGGGAAGGACTCATTGTGATGTGTAGGAGGAGGGAAGGACTCATTGTGATGTGTAGAGTGAGGAAGGACTCAATGTGATGTGTAGAGGAGGGGAGGTCTCTGCTGTGATGTGTAGGAGTGAGGGAAGGTCTCGCTGTGATGTGTAGGAGTGAGGGAAGGATTCGCTGTGATGTGTAGGAGTGATTGAAGGACTGCTGTGATGTGTAGGAGCATGGGGCTGATCACACTGTGATGTGTAGGAGTGTAAAGGACTCACTGTGATGTGTAGGAGTGAGGAAGGACTCACTGTGATGTGTAGGAGTGAGGGAAGGACCTGCTGTGATGTGTAGGAGTGGGAAGAATACGTTGATGCATAGGAGTGCGAGGGGGAAGACTGACTGTGAGGTGTAAGTGAAGGCTTGTCCACCAATG